TTTGAATATAAAAATTTTAAAAATACAATTAATTTTGGCACTACTGAAGAAAAGGGTGCTTTTTCTGCGGACTTATTTTGCGGACTTTTCCTTTCCTTTATAAGTTTTACTTGTAGCAACTACCGTATTTCCTAAAATAGTACGGCCTGCTAAATTAGTACGGCCCCCTGAAATAGTACGGCCCTTTGGAAGAAGATTGAAAAATAGTACGGCCCCCTAAATTAGTACGGCCCCCTAAAATAGTACGGCCCCCATTTAAAAAATATAAAAATAGACAAAATTTGATTTTCTAATCATAGTCATTATTCCTCGCAATATTTAATTAATTTATTGAATCTTAATATCTATTGGTATAGAAATAGGAGTGCTTAAGAGGATATCGGGGGATTAATGGGGATTTTATCGGATTTGGAAGGATATTTATGGACTTGGAGTGATTTAAGTATGGATGAATTTAAAAGGATTAGTTGGAATCAAGGTGAATAACGAATAGTTTATAGGGTTCCGTGACTTTTGCGCCGAGAATATTTGCGCTATCATTAAAAATATATGAATAACTACAGTCGGACCTCTCTATAGTAGGGTTGTCGGATAGATGAATCAGGCCCAGGCCTAATTCATCATTTATAGTCCAGACCTAATTCATCAGCTACCGAACCTCTATTGTACTTACTGAACTTCCTTCATTCCTGGATACCATTTTTACCCCAAGGGGTACACTATAGTGAGGCTAAGATAAGATAAACTGGTAATGTAAAGAATATTTTATATTATACGTTGAAGAATATAAATATTTAAGAGAGATATGAGGATATGAAAGGTTCTTGAGAGGTTCCCCATCGTTCTTGATTATGGACAGTACCATAATTTTTCTACTCTCTTAATACCTCGAAATTAAAAAACTTTAAGCTTGATACAGATGTCATTATAGACGGGTCTTAAATAATTTTTAAGGTCTGCTAATTTCATGTTTGGAACAAGCTTTTGATTTGGGATAATTTCCGAGCATACTTTAAAAAATTTAAACAAAAAAAGATTCAGATAATTTTGAAAAAGGGTTGAAATATAGTGCGGCCCCCTAAATTAGTACGGCCCCCTGAAATAGTACGGCCCTTTGGAAGAGGGTTGAAAAATAGTACGGCCGGCCTTACTATTTTAGGAAATACGGTAACTGTCAAAGGCCTTCCCCCCTATTATTTTTCTTACCTAATATTGTACATAAAGGTCAGATTTTCTTCTTGCTCTCCTTCCTCTATTTGCCCTGGAACAAGAGACATTGATAAAGAGAAGATTATTTTTTTGCCTTTGAAAACAATTTAAACAAAATAAAGAATTATATAAAATGATTTGGTGTGTAACATTATGCATTTCTGTTTAAAAACATTACATTCATACTTATATTTAAAAAATCTTTAACAACTGAAAAAATAAATTGAACTTCAATATCGAACACCTCAATTAAAAATATTGAACAACTCAATTAATCTTCTCTTTATCAACAATGTCTCTTGTTTGAATATGCCAAGCTCAAATAGAGGAAAAAGAGGAAGAAGGAAATCTGACCATTTTGTACAATCTTAGGTAATAAAAATAATGGGGGGGGGGGGGTGGGGGGGGGGACAAGGAATTACCCGCATCTCTGTTCCACAATCACATATTCTTTTTTGATGAAGCATTCCAAGATCAGTGATCCATTGTTGAAATTCATCATCGGATAATTGAAAATTTAGTTAAAGTAAAATTTTTTATTGATTGTAACATTTTTTACGTTTATAATGTTCAAATTAATCGTGAACACATATTTTTCAAATTGGCATATAAATTAATCCTTTGACAGTTAGTTGCTACAAGCAAAACTTGCTACAAGCAAGACAGCCAAAACATTAAAAAAGAATCATTTAAAAGTAAAAAAAAGTCCGCAAAATAAGTCCGCATAAAAAGCACCCTTTTCTTCAGTAGTGCCTTAATTTTAAGATAAATTATTTTATTTTATTTGACTTTATATTTTTTAAAATAATTTTTCATAATTTAAAAAGCAAGAGAATTAGGTTAAAATTTTAGATGGTTAATTATATGGACAAAATGCTTAATTGATCTGAGGTGGGTGATTATCATTTTTATATCCTATCAATATAAAAAGCTTTCTATTACTATTTTCTGAGAATGTTTTAATTGGGGTTGTTAGTTGTTTGAATTTAACATTAATCAAGGGTCGAAGTTAGGCAAAGATAGGTGAATATTCGATCGGATACATCAAATTCGAACTTCGACTTGCCTTTTTTGTAAAATCGAATTTTCGAATTCGACGTATCATTTCGAATTTAATTAGTTTCGGCCTCTAATTTTTAAATTCTAGTTTCGGATTCGAATCCTGTTCCTCCTTTCTCAGCTCGTGCCAGGGATGAGCGCAAGAGGCAATCTCGAAAAACGCAAGGCCAAAATTTAACGCAAAACGCAATGCGCTCAGTCTGGCCCGTGCCATTCCTAATACATATATTTTATATCAGTTTATTAAAATTTATTTTTATTTGGATTCGTGTCACATGGTTTTGTATTTTGCATAATCTCTTTTATTTTATTATTCGACCCTTCAATCATCTAAAAATTGTTTACAATTTTTAAAACTTGCTTTTTTAGATTTTTAAAACGCACATTTTTAGAACGGGGAGGGGGCTTTACATATTTTTCTATCAATTTTTTTTTTGCTTTTGCAAAGCATCTTTTTTCTAACCAACAAATAAATACACGATTAAATAAAAACATTCTTTTTTTATTCTACACAATAGCTACCTACCACCTCTTAACCAATACGTTAAATAAAAATGTTTGGCCTTTTCTGCGATTTTTATTTAATCTGATATTTTTTTCACTATTTTCATTCATTTATTTTTATAAATGTTTTCTCCAAACTGTGAAGCAGAGCTGCTTCAACCCATAAAAAACATCTTCGAAAATCGTAAGAAAACCCCGTCTAAATTTCGAAACGGCTCTGCCATAGAAACAGCACGCCAGTTGGAACGTGCTGGCGAAGGCTTTGTTATTTGATTAATCCAATCCTAATAGAGTGGATTAAGAAGTATGGTAAATAAAACTGATAATAACCTGCTCCAGCTCTGAGAGTGGATCAGATCCTCAGGCTTGCCGTGTCATACACAGATGTTACCGCTAAGTTGTTGCCTCATACCTACATATTTCTTATTATATAAGAAATATAACATTGCATTAATGATGAAATAATATAAGTTTAGGAAATAATATAAGTGTTACTCTTATTTGTGAGCTCTTTTTTTACTTTCGATTCCGGCATTTTTAAACTATTTTTCCGATTTTCTTGTTTCGTAACGTCTCCGGTGGCATCACTTTGTTTGTTTTTATTTTTAAAAATTATGACTAATAATTTAAAAGTGTGTGTTTAATTTTTCCTTATTTCACATTTGCACTTTTATTTAAATTACATGCGCGAACGTACTATTTTATTAGCATTTTTAGGTCTAGAAGCACTTTTAGACACCTTAAAAAGAGCTTTATATTCTCTTACCCCACATTTTTTATTTACCCTTTACGCGCGTACACGCTCGCTAATTTATGGATTATCTGCCACAGGCGCTAGTAACAAATACTAAAAGCAGCTTATATTGAAAAATGCCTTAAGAGAGAGAGAGAAATGGCCTTACCCATTTATTTTTACTTATTTTTTTATTTTATTGGGAACTTGAAAAGCTTGGAAGATGTGAAGATTGTTGTTTAAAAGATTAATCTTTAATTTGGTTTTCATTAAGTAACATACCGTATTTATTTTAATAGAATGGCCGCCATTTTATTTTTCAATACCCCAAAAATTGTCATTCAATTGGAGGGGCCATTCAAATAGCGACAGAAAATAGCATTCAAAATAAGGATATTTCCTCTTTTTCCATTATCTTTTATATCGCAAGACGCACGCGATTTTTATTTAAGCACAACATTATTGAAGGTTGAGAAGCCTGAAAATTTTTAATGTGAGAATTGTTGTTTAAAATTTTAATTTGGTTTTCATTAGGTAACATACCGTAAATGCTCCAATATAAGCCATGGACTTATATTTATCAATGGGTAATTTTAGTGGCTTCTATTAGAGACTGGGTTTATATTTTTCGATAACCCTCCTTGGGTTGGCTTCTGTTAGAGATGGGCTTCTATTAGAGACTGGGCTTCTATTAGAGACTGGGCTTCTATTAGAGATGGGCTTCTATTGGAGATGGGCTTCTATTGGAGATGGGCTTCTATTAGAGATGGGCTTATATTAGAGCATTTACTTTATTTGTACAATAATTAGTGTATGAATTTCATACCTTGTGTTTGTTCGCATAGATAAATAAAAATTCATTAAAAACCATCTTTGGTCTGCTGATTTGTTGTTTATTTTACGATAATTACTAATTATGTACTAATTGCTCATACATTTTACACCCTCTTTTTTAAACTTTTTTTTTCTCCAAACAAAATTTTTCTTTAACGTTTTTTCCTTTTAATCCGCGTTTTTAAATTCCATTTTTTACTTCCTTTATTCGTAATATTGTCTCCTTTTTTACTTTTCAATACGTCCACCCTCCTTAAAGGTTTTCTCACACGCAACCATTTCTTCCTTTAAAGAAATTTTTTTAATTTTCCTTGAAATTCAGACAATTATCAAGAAAGATTAACTATGTTAGTAAAACAGTTTACTAAAAAATTTTTAATTTGGATTAATGGCCATTAGTATGGTTTATTAAATATAGAAATTGCTTTTAAGAGAAATAATTTTCTGTTTGTTTGTTTGTTGGCATTTCTGTTGTTTTGGGTATTTTTGTACAGCCATACCAGAAATTGACGAAATTTTGTTTCGCCTTTCTTCCATTTCGTTTCGTTTCGAGACGGATATGAAAATTATTTAGACTAGGGTTGTCGGTTTTTGGAAAATCTTTGGATATCCGGAACCGAAAAATCATCGGTTCTTCGGTTCGGTTTAGAACCAACAACCCTACTCGAGACGTAACCAGAGCTTCTTCGAACTTCCAATTTTGACTTTCATTTTTGACTCCTTGGTGATACAGAAAAAATTTTTTTTTAATTTCGCCCATCCCAGACCTACACTCATTATTTTTCCCTGTAAACAGTCCATTTCTAAATTTTTATTATTATTTTTTCAGGATTTAATTTATTCCTTTAAATGGATTTTGTCCAATCTATCGACTCTTCTTCCCGAGTAATCCCTTCATCTTCCGCATTTTACAATAATGTTACTTCCTCTTCCACAACCAAAACCCAAACAAATGAACAACAACGTTTGGGGGGTTCCCTTAGAAGACTCAAAACTGTTTTGGTTATTGACAAAAAAGTACAAAAATTTCTCAAAGTTCGAGAAATGGCTTGTCAGGATATTGAGGCAGTCTCTGCTGCTTTGAACGTTAATTTACAGGTTTTTAAAAAAAATTTTTAGGGTACTTTTCCGTTATGCCACACCTCCCTAAATTAATGTTCAAAATAGTGACGGGCGCGGGACGGGATCCCGCGCGGGATTCTGCGGGATCTCGTCCCGCAATCCCGCACTTTTTTCGCTTTGCGGGATTTTTCGGGATTTATCCCGTGGGATCCAGCAAACACGATTTTGCCGACTGCTAGTTCAAAATGTCATATATACGGTAGAAAAAGGTGTTGAGTCGAAAGGTGTATTATTGCATATTAAAATTTTTTTCCAAAATGACCCCATGTTTTTTTTGACCATTTCGAACTCTATATCTGGGTCCACAGACATCTCCGGGGAAAAAGAGTGGTACTGTTAGACTTTGCACTTTTTTTAGTCCTATAATTTTTACAATAATTTTGGCATAACGGCAGAGTATTAATTTTTGAAAATTATTTTTACAAAAAAATATTTTTTTCTAGTTAATCGATTTTGACCGATTAGATTTTGGAGAGTCTTCAACACTCGACAAGTTTTTTTTATTAAATTTAAAAAAATTTTTAATTTTTTAAATTTATAGTTTTTATAATGCAGACATTGCATTGATTGATTTTTCGATAACTCATCAACAGCCGGTAACTTGAAAATTTTTTTAAATAATTTTAACTTTAAAAATTAATTTTCTGGGTATTTAAGTGTAAGCTTAAAATTAGGATTAGAGTTCAAATTTGTTTTTTTGGATATTTTTAATATTTTTTACTAATTAATTAAGTTAATTAATTTTAACATAAGTTAATGTTGTTGGTGACTGGTTTTAAAACCGGAATTTTTAAAATTTTGGAATTTTTAAAATTTTGGAATTTTTAAAATTTTGCCAAAAATTTTACTGTTCTTATTAAAGATTCCCCCAAAATAAAATTGTTATTTGCCTAAAACTCAAAACCGAATACCGGGTTTCTAAAATTTAGATTAACCGAAAACCGGGAGTACCGGTTAATAACCGGTCGCCAACAACCTCAGTTAATGCCTTTAATTTTATGTGGTGGGAAATTTTGATTTTTTAAAATTTATTTCATGACCTTGGACTTGAATTTGCCCTTTTTTCGATTTTCTGTAATAAATCTGATCCCTATTATAATTTCAAAAATTGATTTTTACAAATTTTTTAAACACGTAAAATTTTTTAATTTTTCAGAGCCTTTGCTACCACGTCGGGTATATTTTTAATTTATTCTTAAAAAATAATTTTTTTATTTTGTCAGTGTTCGAGAGTCAATGGGACAAACCTATAATATAATAATTATGTGTTGTTCACCACCTGATATTCCTGATGATCAAAAATGTGAAATGCAGATTGAAGCCTTAAAGGTTTTTTTTTATTTTTTATAATTTTTTTGAATTTTCCTTAAATTAATTTTTTGATTTTTTGTAATCATTTTTTCCCATAAACTGCTTGAAAATATAAAAAATTGTTTCTGGGCTGTTTCTGATTGTGAGTCCATCGAATTTTTATGAGTCCAACGAAGCTTTACGAAGCCCATAAAATTTTTATGGGTAAGCAGGGTCGTAATCGTGTGGAGGGGAAGGGGAAACCCCCTCCCCGAAACTGGGAAAAGAAAAAAATTTAGGGAGGGGATTGGGCAAAAACTGAATTTTTTGGCCTATGACCTTCCAAATTTCTCAAAAATTTCGCCTGCGGCGCTGAAAAAGGGAAGGAAGCTGGCTTACATTAGCCTTCAAAATTCAAAGAATTTCACTTGAGTGCCTCCCTCAAGAAAAGAATCCTGGCTACTGCCCTTTTTCCAATACATTCTTATAAACTTGTTTATTTTTGTTTTGGACTCGTAATTTTTTATTGAACTCATAAATTGTCCCAGAACTTATTTTTTAATTATTTGTATTAAATTTCCAAAACATTTTAGAGAACTTTAACACAATGTTCTTTAATTGTCTATTTTCTTGCCAAAGAGGACGGTGGCTCAACATTACCCCCAGTTTTACTTTCCGCTGATCGTTCTTCAAAATTGGGATGTTTTGAACGTCACGAATTAAAATATCAAAAAATGTTGAAAAAAGGACGGAGCGATTCTTTTGTATTTTTTTATTTTTTTTTTAATTTAAAAATTAATTTTTAGGGAACTTTTGCTGATCGAATAAAGCAAGTATTAAATAATGTGACAATTGAAGCTAATGCCCATGCTAGAGAAAAATTTCTCAGTGATTTACGCAAAGTTAGAGATATTGATTCGCATAGAGAACAATGCAAATTTCTTGAAAGAATGAGGACGAGGCTGGATAATCCTGGTAATTTTTATTGAAATTTTTAAGTGTGAGGTTGGTTTTATAATAATTGTAGGGAAGACTTTTAGTGACTAGATTTAAAATGTTAAGGTGAGGGTTTAAGATTTATTAAAGGCCTTCTCTTGGAAGGTCACTGGATCACTCGAGCATTAAATTTAACTCAAGCTTTCTTCATACTAAAATTAACCATATCCCTGTCTGACAAATGGAGCACTTTCTTACGAGTTTGAGGAGGAGGGAGGTTGAGGAGGCTTGGATTTTTTGGGGAGGATTTTTGAGGAGGCTTGGCACACATCCTATTATTTCACAATCAGCTCCCTTAAAATGCGTTTTTGGTTTTTTGTTTGTTGATGTGGGAAAAAAATTTTTTTCGTTTGCATTTTGATGTGTCAGTTTTGGGAGTCCACAAGATCTAATAATTAGTGTGACAATTCGGGATTTAAGAAACGTAGGGCGAAAAACGAATTCATTCGAACAATTCACTTTTGAACAATTACTAATTTTAAAATTTAAAATTATTTTATTTTAAAGATGTTCTTTCTGTTGATACTGTTCATCAATTCCTTCTTTGTTTGCGTGATACACAAGACTATGATGGAATTATAGGTATGATAGATGATTTGGAGCGTATTGACCAGAAACAAATAACACATGCACAGGTTTATTTTTTATAATATATTTTCTAAAAAATTTTCTTAAAGGCTGTCCGTTTTCTTTATGCATTTGCTTTAAATAGAAGAAATAAAAATGGGGATCGTGATAAGGCACTTACAACAGTTGAACAAATTATGGACTCTTCTGGTAATCAAATGGTCTCGCCTGGTATATTTTTTTAGATTTATTGTTAGAGATTAATAGTGGATCGAAAAAGTTTCTATTATTTGTTAAAATATTGAAAAAAAATTATGAAAATTTTTATGAAATTATGAAAATTATTTTATGAAATTTTTCTTATGAAAACATATTTCCAATAAACTTTGATTTTTAAAAAATTAACAAGCTTTTCGATTGACTTTGAATAGAGTTGTTCCCCGACGGGTGCGGGGAGGGGGGCAACAGGGAACAATTTCCGGCGAGACAGCGCCCTGGGGGGGGGGGCGGGGAATTTTCAAAAAATCTCTCAAATTCCCCGACTTTCGGGGACGGGAACGGGGAACAACCCTACCTTTGAAATGAAAAAAATTACCAAAAATTATTTTTATGCCTTTATATTTGCCCTTCTTTTTAAAATTTTTGTGTTTTTTTTTATAAACTATAAATTCAAAATTGTTTAAAATTGTTAAAAATTTAATTAATATTTATAGATGTAATTTGTCTGGCTGGCCGTGTCTACAAAGATAAATTTATTTCTAGTGGTTATGAAGATAAACAGGCGTTGGATAAAGCAATCGAATGGTTTTTTTTAAATATTTTTTAAGAATCAATTTTAATATTTTTCAAGGTATCGAAAGGCTTTCAATCTTTCTCCGCTGGAATATAGTGGAATTAGTAAGGATTAAAAAATTTATTTAAATTTAAAATTGTTTAATTATTGTTTCAAGCAAAACAAATCAAATTTAGGGGAGATGTCGGGGACTTTTTCAGATATCCGCCTTAATCCTTCTGATATCCTTTTAGGTCCCCTGATCCCCTCGAAGCAACTAACAATGGAGAAGCTGTGGGGTGTTCGTGGGACTTGGGATGAACGACGAAATATAAATTGTTTATGTGTGGAAAGGGAAACTTTGGGAAAGAGAAACCTTGGAGGCTTATAACTCGGTCCACGGTACCATTCAGCGAAAATGGTGAAAATTTCACAACTAAAGTAGGGCATGTATGATCTATCTACCAAATTTCATCCCGGAGTCCCATAAAATAAATTGTTTATGTGTGGAAAGGGAAACTTTGGAAAGAGAAACCTTTGTAAGCGTTTCGTTCTGATTTAAGCTCTCAAAAAAGTTCAATTCCTTTAATTTAATTCAAAAAGATTTAACAACAATGCTTCGAGCACGTGGTGAAACCTTTGAGAATTCTCCAGAGTTGCAACAAATCGGTCTAGTTTTGAATAGCCTACTTGGCCGTAAAGGAGCACTTGCTAATTTGACAGATTATTGGGATGTTGCTACATTTTTTGAAGTGTCAGGTAAATAAAAAAATCTTATCTTAAAGCTAATTAAAATTTATTTTTGAAATTTAGTATTAGCAGAGGATTACAATAAGGCCTGCCAGGCAGCTGAGAAAATGGCTATGTAAGGAAGACTTATTTTTATTTTTTGAGGAATTTTTTTGAAAAATTTTTGGGAAGAATATTTTTCTGAATTCTCATTTTTCGACTTATCCGTTACCGGAAGTTGTGGAATTTGAGACTATTTTTGAAATTCCTCCCCCTTTCAAGTTCCGTGGCGCTACCTTCCAGAAAGTTATTTCCCTTATTGTTAGACTTCCTTCTCCAGAGAGAAAGAGAAGGGAGTTCATGGCTCCTCCAGAAAATTATTCTCCCCAAGACTCCCTTCTCCCTAGACTCCCTTCTGTGGAATTTTAGACTATTTTTCAAATTTCTCCCCTTTTAACTTCCCGTGGCGCTACCTTCCATTAGATTATCCTCCCCTAGACTCCCAACTCCAAACGGGGAACAACCTAAATATTTTTTTTAATTTTTTATTTAAAAATTAGGTTGAAGCCCCCTGTTTGGTTTCTCAAATCTACAATGGAAAATATTAAATTAATTAATCGTTGTACTGCTACATTGCAACTTTCACCAGTTGAACGTGACAAAAAGACATTTCTTTTTTGGACAGAATTTTTTATGGAAGCAATAGATTCTCAAAAACCTCCAATAAATCAATCCAAAAAACGTGAAAATGTAGATACAGATGATAATGAGGAAGAGGATGATGATGAAGCGACAGAAGAAGAATTAGTTTCTACAAGTACTCGTTTCCCTGTTCTTATTCAGGAATTGAACAAAACGTTGACTCCAAGCTATTTGAATGTTAATAGGGATAATGTTTGTTTATTTTTTAATTTATTATTAGAATATTGCCATGAAGGCAACAAATTAAATTTGGGTAGCACTCCGAGCCTTCGGGGGCGGGAGTTTCGGGGTGCCGGAGTAGAGGCTTTGGGATTCGGGTCGGTGTTTTGCTTAAAAATTTTGTCTGGGTTTTGGGGGAGGGGTGATACCCTAAATTAAATTATTAAAATAATAAATTGGAACTAATTGTAAGATTGAGTCCAAAACCAATTTCCTGAACATTTTGATGGTGTGGGCGATCCCCAACTTTTAACATTTTTGTGAAGCATTGTCTGGGTTTTGGGGGGAAAGTTGTGAAGCCTTGTCTGGTTTTTTGTCTGGTTTTTTCAAGAAATTCCCTAAGAATCATATGTCAGGAACCTAAAGGGGCCAGGGCTGGAATCTACTACATAACGATATTTTAAGTAGGCATATAATTGTGTAACTCTTAATATAGTCTTTTATAGAAATTTTTTTAATTTATAGATCATTCTCTACCACGTACTAAAAGAAAGTCAGAAAAAGCGTGAAGATCTTAATTTAACTGATGGTGTTCATCGTTGGGAATTTAAAGCGAATAATATAAAAGCTGTTAGTGCATCAAAACGTGACGATAGGTTTCTTAAAAAAAATTTTTTTTTCGAATTTTTCTCCTTAGATCAATGTTTTTGTATGTTTATGAAAATTCTGATGATTTTAATTTAACTTTTCCATCTGCAATTCACTGTCAAAGGTTTAGTTTTTAGTAAAGTTTTCGATAAAAAAAGAGGATTTATTGTAGAATGATAACTCAAATTCTTGCAATGGATGGTGGGGCTGAACGTAATATTCTTGCAAGTGTCGAAACTGATTCACTCAAATTTGAATATGAAGTTGACAGTAATCGTGAAAAAATTGTTTTGGGACGAGGAACTTATGGAATTGTAAGGAATTTTTTAATAATTATTTTGGGAGTACATTAGTTTGCCCCCTACCATAAAAATTGAGATTTGGATATCCTAAAACTCTCGGCAAGATTGCATTGACTCTTGGGCTATGGTTTAGTTTATGAGTCCAATGAAAGCTTATGTCCTATTAAAAGGAACTCAAGCAAAGGTTTATCCACTGGGCAGGAAACGAACCTGCGATTCCTGTCAGTTGTTATTCGGTCACTTCGTTTCCCACGTTCAAGTGTTGTATTAGCAGTAGGGTTGGGGGCCAGATCCGGCCCGGTTCGAAAGATCGAGTCGGGCTTCAAACTTTGGCCCGGGAAAGACCCGGTCGGACCGGCTCGATAAAAATGAGGCCCAAAAATGACTTGAACGTCGGCCCGACTTGAAAACCCCAGCCCTATTATTTAGCAGAATTACTTCTTGATTTCATTTTATAAGGCTCTAGAACTCTACTTCGCTTAGAATCTTAATAATAATTTAAAAATAATTAAAGGTTTATGCAGCAAGAGATGTAACATCTCAACGGTCTATAGTTGTTAAAGAAATTGAAGTGAAAAATGAAGAAGAGGTGCAGCCTCTTATGGAAGAAATACAGGTTAATTTAAATTTTTTGTTTTAAGCTTTAATATTTTTTAGTTACATTCTACTTTGTCTCATGACAATATTGTCAAGTATTTGGGGTCAAAATTGGATAAACGTGAATCTGGAAGTTTTTTTCTCATTTTTATGGAGCAAGTTCCTGGAGGTATTTTTGAACTTTATAAATATTAATTTTAAAACTATGGTCGAACCTCACATTAAGATACACCCTCGGAGTTAAAAAAATTTATTTTGTATAGAGGGGAGGACACTCTGGCAACTCCTCCCACCAGTAACTAGCCAAATTTATAAATACGTAGCTTATATTGTGCATCTAGTATTGGGTTTAGGTTATCTACTTGGCCGTTTCATAGAAAAAAGTTTGCATTGCAAAAGTAGTCTTAGAATTTTGTAAATGTTGAAAATATTTGAGGCTAGATTTAGATTTTTTTAGAGTGTCTTTTAATAGATCCCAAGAATTAAAAATTTTTGGTTAGGTATTCAGGAAGTTACTAGAATATCTTTTAAAAGTTTGTGGTCGACATCGAGATGTAAATCATTTTTAAAATTATTTTAAGGCAGTCTAAGTTCGCTAATTCGCTCAAAATGGGGTCCTCTTGATAATCTTCAAACAATGGCCATTTATGCTCGTCAAATTCTTGAAGGATTGAAATATTTACATTCTCAAAAAATTGTTCATCGGGATATTAAAGGAGAAAATGTTTTGGTTAACACCTATTCTGGATTGTGCAAAATTTCTGATTTTGGTACCTGCAAACGTCTTGCTGGTCTAAATCCAGTGACTGACACGTTCAAGGGAACGTTGCAATATATGGCTCCTGAAGTGATTACTGGTGGTCAAAGGGTTGGGGAATTTTTTTATTGATTAATTTTCCTGTCCTTTATTTCTTTGGTAAAGCTTTCGCTTATGAACACATTCAAATACATGTCTAAAAAAATGCGAAATGACAAAAGAAACATTAGAAAAGGCTAATAAAGTAACCATGACATTCTTTGAAATTTAAAAAATTCATTGGGCTTGAAAGGTCAAAAGCTCATTTTTGGGGTGAAAAATTCGATTTTACATATGATAGGCTCGTCGAGCTGTCATAAGTCGAGTGACACCAAAATCAGCTCTCTTGGATGATTTTTTGTCATTTCGCATTACTTTAGACAAGAAAAACTTGTATTTGAATGTGTTCATAAGCGAAAGCCTAGCCACTTTGTTATTAAAAAATGCCTGAATTTTATGGTTTTCATTCGCCTATTTTTTTAAGAATAAAATAATTAGATATTTTCTTTAAGGGTTACGGACCAGCTGCTGATATTTGGAGTTTTGGTATTTATAAATAAATTTTTTTTTGTTTTTTTAAATAATTTTTGTTATTTACAGGTGCAACTCTAATTGAAATGGTTACTGGCAAGCCACCATTCATTGAAGTCAGCTCATTTAATTTTATTTATAATTTATATTTATTATTCAAAATATAGTTGGGCATTCCTGAAGCTGCTGTCTTCAAAGTTGGTATGCATGGAATGCATCCACCAATACCTGAACATTTGGGGGAATTGGCAACAAATTTTATTAAAAGGCAAAAAACATCTTTATCAATTTTAGACTTATTTTTTTAGTTGTTTCAAACCAGACCCGTCTGAACGACCTACAGCAGCTGAATTATTAAATGATCCTTTTATTTTACAATATTTTGGAAATTCGTTTGTTTCTTGAAAATTATTTTTTAATTTATTGTAGAAATCGTGGAACTAGTAGCAAAAAAAGAATTGATGGAGCTCCCCCTGTTAAACATCCAAGTAGTAAGTTTATCTGTTAAAGATTTTTACTAGTCGGATTTAAATATTTTTTCGTAGTTCCTCAGGTGTGGGGAGTTTTAACGACTAATTTAAATAAAATGCCTAACTGATAATTAAAAGGAGCCTAATTTGATAATTTTAGAATTCTACCGATCCGCTTCACATATGGGTGGAATGACTGCATCTGGGGCAACTGTTTCTGCATCGATATCTGGTTATAAATCAAATATTTTTTCAAAACTTTTCTTCTCAATTAGAAACTGGAAGCAGCAAACCTTCCAATAAACACCAACAACAACAATCCTCATCTCCTAATCGTCTTCGAAATTTGTCACCTGTTACTACATCCAACAATATAAATACTTCTACAGCTGTTACTTCTCTTCATATTAGCCCAATGATTGCCACAAAAAGAGGAAGTTGTGGGACAACATTAGAAAATAATAGGAGTACTGGAAGTGGTGGAGGTGGGGGTATTATTGGCCGCCTTGGTCATGAAAGAAATTTAAAATTGCGTATTGAACCATGCCTTTCAACACCTTCATCTCTTGGTCATTCTGGACCTTCATGTAAAGAGAGATTTGATTTTAAGTCAAATGAAATTTAAAAAAATTTTCAGCCGCAAATCCAATATTAATTAGTACTGCTTCAACTTGTTTTTGCACTCTTCCTTTCTCCACTTCAGTCTCCCCAAAATTAACACCATCATCGGGTATCTTTTGTAGTTCATCAACAACAGCCTCTTCTTCACTACTTTCTTTAGAGGCAACTTCACAACAACCTTTTACACAAATACAAACGTGTGGGTCTGGTTGTGCGGCAAGTGGTCAACAACAATATCAGCATCATCAAATGCGTGTTTGTGCAGCTCATCCTAGACAACCTTCTAGTCCTCTGGCTATTCCTCACGTTTCTCAACCTGCCAGGTACTATGATATTCAGTTGAAAAAATTTCTTGTGTAGTCGAGCCTCATTATCAGTGGTTGGAAACTCGTACCAAAATTCGTACTCATACCTGTCTACGAGTATGAGAAAAAATTAGGCATGTACGAGTACAAGGTGAAAAAGGCCTGTACGATAGTATGAGCAAATCTCAAAATTCCAACCTTAGGGATAGAAATATTTTATTTTATGATGATGTTGTGTACTTAAAAGTTAGTTAGGGAGCTTCCCCAATCGGGAAACTCCCCATGATAAAATATTATCTTAAATAGTTAATTGGGGAGCTTCCCCATTTGGTAGCAGTATTGAGTGTATATCTTAATGAGGTGTGATTGTATTCATAATTTTATTAAAAAACATACAAAACATTAAATAAAAATTGTTTTTACTTCTTGAAACCACCACGTATTTATATTTTTTTCTTATTATAGAAAATTATTTTTGTTGTTACTTTTTGACGCGCTTTTCCTCCAATTTTATCATTTTTGTCTTCATATAATTTTACAAATATTTTCTCCCTCACTTTTTCAAATGATGTTAATTTTTTTAATTGGCAAATTATATTAACATCGATACAAATAGTATTTTTGAACTAAATACAAATATATTTATTAAACCATTTTTTTTTCTTAACAATTGAACAAAAATTTTTTTAATTTCTTTCCTTTCACCGTCCGCTTAAGAGGATTGGTGGTGTTTACAATCCTTATATAATTTATTTTTTAAATATCAATACTATAATATAAAATTTTTTTTGTGAAATATTTGTTTAGTAAAAATTAACTCCAACCACAAAAATAATAATTTTTAAAAATACAAAGATTATTTTTATGAAAATTTTCAACAAACATAAAGCTTTTAAATTTTTGCTTTTGCTTTTTATTCAGTTTTTTCTTTATCGAGAAGAACAATCACTTTCATTCTTTATCACCTTCGTTTTATTTTTATTAATAATTATAGGGACTGGATTGAGACGGGTTCTTAAAAGAAAATCTAGGTTATCGAGGTGATATTGGACGCAAATGCGGATTGCGTGAAATTGCGTGTTTTTTTGACTTGCGGATTGCGACTGTGGATTTTAAAATTAAAATTGCGAGTTGCCGATGGCTACGGAAGATTTTTTTCAATTGCGTCCACCTCTGCCTCCCAGTCCAGTCTCTAAAATATTCTTTCTGTCTAGATTTGTAGGTTCTTGGAAAATCTTTTAATATCCGAAACCGAAGAACTCTGAAATCTCCGAAACTGAAAAATCCTAGGGTCTTCGAGTCGATTCCGAACCTCACAACCCTACTTTCATCCTTTTTTGTCTTTCTATTCCAATCATTTTTAAATCTGTTTTGATTTTTATTATTTTAAGTGCATTCCTGATTATTTTTCCACAATATTTTTCTATCAAAAATATTTATATAAATTATTACACGTTTCTAAATTATGTAAATTCTTGATTGTTATTCTCATATCTCTTTTTACCTTTTTTGAAGGGCAACATTCGTTTTTTACGTAAAATACTCTTGCCAACGTTGCGAATCATTGAGAGAACATGAAACATTAAACGTGACAGTGTTTTTGGGAAGGATAAAAATAAAGGGGGGGTGTAGGTTTAGAATTGAAGGTTCATCACACATTTGTATGTGAGGCAAAACAACAGCAATATTTATTTATTCACTCAATTTCTCCTCATTAAACTTTTTTTTTTATGAAATTGTGTTTTCGTTAATTTTATTTCTCAATAATTTTTTTAATTCGTCCTTTTTATTAATCAAATTATGAGGCAAAAAAATTTATTTTTTATTAATTAAAATTAAAAAAAATTATTTTTATTTTTTAGTCCCGTCCGTGATTTTCAAACTCCTTTAACAGCCAGTCCTTCTTTTGGTTCAGAATCCGGGCCTTTTATTGCCGGAATTTCACCTTCAACAGCTTTAAGCATTCCGGAAGAAAATTCTTTGTGTAATTTTTTCTTCACTCTTCAAAAGGAAGGTGAACGTCGTGCAACGTTGTTACTTATGTTAGAGCAACATGAAACACAGGTATTCCTGAAGATATATTAAAAATATTTTGAAATACCTGTCTGGAATGGTCATACGATAACGGAGATAGATGTAGTGATGGGGGGGGGGGGGGGGGGGGGGGGGGGTCCAGTTCCGGAACTGATGCGGTTCCGGAACTGGAACCGTGGAACCGGCAAAGGTCTGGAACTGGGTTGGAATCGGTTCCAGAAGTGGAACCGGAACCGGCAAAATTTTGGAATTTCCGCATCACTGGATAGATGAGATTTTAGTTAGAGATCTCGGCTTAGTCCGATCTCTTCGCATGACTGCTTCGTACTTCCAATTTTGACCTTTTTAAGTGTTTTTCGGTGTCTGATTTTCAAAAATTTTTTTGTTTCGTAGCACCTTTTGTGGACCTATTAAAACTAATTTTAAAAATATTTTTTATTCCTTTTAGATAATAGAAAAATGGCATGAGCAATTATCCTTGGAGATTGGTGTTGATGAGCTAATAATTTCTAAAGCTTCACTTACTCAATTATTACAAGGCTTACGCGTGCGATTTTATTAACTTTTAGACTTGAATTTTATTTTTTAGCTCTTTATTTTGCCAAAGGAGGGCGGTGGTGGTTGGGAAATGGCGGCCGAACATTTACAAAATACACTCTCAACAATTTCACAACAAAATTTAAGTCCTAGACAAGAGCCGGGAGCGCCAATTAATCAGCTGATTATTGCACTTTATCTTTTTCCTACAACGGTAGGGCTGACTAATTAAAAATAATTTGCCCTTTCAATTTACTTGATTGGCAATTGTAATTATATTTTTTGTTATGTAGTAATACAAAAGCAGAATTTTGACTACATGGGAACCGCGTGTAATAGCTATGCGTCTTGCGGTCATTTTTGACCTTGCGTTGCTTTTTACGATTTTGAATTTGTCTCTTGTTCTCCCTTACTGTTGGGACTTATTTTTAGATTTAACTAATTTGATCGAATATTTGAGAGCTGCTTAAGCAATACCCCCTTTTTTAAGATAACTTCATAAGCAGGGTTGCCAAAATGGACTGAAAGATCGTGTCTGGCATAAGATATTTGGCCCGAAATAGACTCGTACGGCCCGACTCGATAAAAGTGAAGCCCGAAAAAAATGACTCGACCGCTGGCCGGACTTGAAAATGGCAACCCCATTCATAAGGTGCAATTTTTTTCAGCCCCAAGGGCTCTATCTAAAAATTAGGTCTCAGAAAGTATCATTAAATTTTTCTAATTTTTTAACTGATTTTGAAAAATTTTTTTCAAACTTTAAGGTTCAACCTCTACTAAAATTACAAAAAATCAAGCCACATTGGATGTTTACATTAGACGATCTTATTCGTAATGCAGTTCAACAAGCCTTACGTCTTTTAAAACCAGAAGAGCAACAACAAACAGCAATACCTGAACAACAACAACAACAACAATCTTTTATTCAACAACAAATGCCTCCAGTTTGTTGCATTGATGCTAATAATCGACAACAACAACAACAATCTTCCCCTTCAATTATCCCACCTTCTGGAGGTGCTTCTTCTTCCTCATTGTCTTCTTATTCTGAACAAATTAAATTGTAATTTATTTAAAATTAAATTTCAATAAAATATAACCGGTGCTAATTTACACCCACAATTAGATAAATCTCTATTTTGGGTACATTTTTTTAACTTGATTGACCACTAATTTGTAAGTGTAAAAGGGAATATTAAAGCGATATCTCCCATAATACTTAACATAATTTTATAATTTCCTAAAGTATATGAGATCTGCTTCTACTTAAAAAAATAGTATTGAATGTTTGGTGACCGATAAGTTCGTACGACAATTGAGATCGATAGCTCGAAAAATCTCAACCTCGATAACCGAAAATTTAGTTTGATGTTTCGTCTCGATTCGGTCTTTAATTGTAATTAACTTTAATATGAATTGATTACCTTTACTATAACTCCACAAACTTAGGAATTCTTTGCTGTAAATGCGTAATAGTTACCCTGGATAGTTATTGTTTCAACCTTGCGTTGAAGGGGGTAATTATTTGAGAGGGAAACCTCTTAAATTTCTTTTAGACAATTTATTTTAATTATCAGACTTTGTGATGAATTAATTGCTGTCGAGAAACGTTTACTTGGAGTTCTTGAAGCAGCATTTTCTGATCGTCAAGAACGTATACGAACATTTTGTAATGTTGCTGCATCTTCTTCTTCTAATCATTTACAAGAACAAAATAATTTGTTAATTTCTTCTTTAAATGAAGATAGCGGTATTGGAAGTGGGGGAACATTGACAACCAATACAACAACGTAGATAAAAAAAAATTTTTTTAAATTCCGAAATTTTCCTTTAAGCGGGGATGTTGATTGTGAAGGGGATGAGTCGATCCGTGATTGGTTACGCCGAATAGGCTGTGATTTAACTTCAATTTTGTTGATTGAAAGTGAATGCTATACAAAACGGGATTTACTCGAATTGGTCACTCGTGAAGAGTTGATTCGATTGGGGATACGGTGAATTTATTTGATTGTTATACTATATTGTAATTGGCAATATTCACCTCTTTAGTAGGGCACATTTTAAAGAGGGAAACTTGAAGGCCAAAAAGTTGTGAATCGGGGAGGAGGTGTAGGGAGGGATACAGGAGGAGTAGCTCTCACTTTTAGTGAATCGAAGGGAGGCGCTCACTTTTAGTGGAATAGTTTCATGGCCCTTTAAATATATTTTTTTACAAAGAATTCTTTTATCGGACTAATCTCTTTAATCATGTCAGAATTAATTTTATAAAGGAATTTAGTTTTGAATGGTTTTTTCGTTACTAAATTTTGAAAACTTTTTGATTTCTAATAATTTTGACTTAAAATTCTTTAAGCTACTAGATCACCCCCTCCCTTCCCTTTTTTTGACCATTCTATTCACCCTGCCTTGGAAATATTATACTACATCAGGGATCTAGTCGGCATAAAAATTTTCTATTTTCGGGAATCGGGTCGGCTAGATCCCTGTTATACATATCCAAAATAATCTCAATCTTTATTTCAAATATAATTTTCTTTAAAAATATTTAGTGGAGGAATTGCTTGCCGAATTTGGCGACATATTGTTCGGTCAAGAATGGACAGATCTAATTTTAAAGTAAATTTAGTATATTAATCTTATACAAAAAAATTTTTTTTTGAAAGGTATTAAGCCCAACAAGCCCTACAACAACAACAAATTCAATTTGTAACACTCCTCCTTTAACTTTTGGATCTTCTACTTTTTCTTCTCGTAATCAACAACGGCACTAAAAACATATTTAAATTAATTTTGCCATTTTTATTAAAATAATAATATCAATTTAATTTTTTTATTTTCCCTAACATTCCGGGTTTTTTATTTTATTAATAATCTTCATTAGGTATTTTACCCGGTTATTTTTGCCCAAACTTTTTTTTTGAAATTCTAATGTTTCTTTCTTTTATTTCTTGTATATTCTACAAAATAGGTATATATTTTAAAATACAATAAAATCTCGTTTTGGCGGTTCCGGATCCGAAATTAGTCCAAATATGTGTAGAATATTTCGGTTGCTAATCTGATCCGCCTAAAATTTCAAAGGATCCTATGCTATAAGTCATTAAAGTCTAATCCTGTTATATGTATTATAATCATTCTAAAAATTTAATTATAATCAACTTTTTAATATTGTTTTTTATTTTGATTTAATTATTAAATACATATAAAGGTGGTATCTAAATCTATTTTTCAATAAAATCTCGGGAATGACTCGAGAAATGAAAATAATTATTTTTTAAATAAATAAAATTTAAATAAAATATCATTGGCAATTTAGAAAATAAAAAGGTCAGAATAAATAAAAATAAAAAAACAAATAAATCAACCCAGGGCCCGCAGAATAAATTAGAGGTCGAATAATCGGTTGAATAGCTGGGGGTTAACTAACCCTAGTTTCAAGTAAAATTGGTAGAATAACTCATTTATTTATTACAATTCATACAAAAAATATACAGTCACGGAAAAAAAGATAGACTCAAGCCTTTGTAAAATAAAAATTTAGAATTTTCTCAACAATTAAAAATAGTTAATTTCAAAATTAAGATCTAAATTATAGAGCATTAAAATGTCTATAAATTAGCATATTCACTTCAACAAAATACTAATTTATTTTTGTTTAACATTGATGTAAACATAATATGCTCATTTTGTGCGCGGAAAAAAAGATAGACTCAAGATAGATTTTTCAACTTTTGTTCGGTCAAAAATTCTAAAAAAATTTCTGTAGACATTTCCACAGATACTGAGTGGAAAAGTAAAAAGAACGAAGCTTGTAACTTTTTCTTTCATCGAGATCTCGAGCCTCAAAAATCAACGAAAAATGGGGGTACATTACTTTAAAAAATATTTTAACACCCTAGGGCTTGTATTAAAAATTTTATTTTAGGCCTATCTGAAAGCCCATAAAATTTGCTACAAAATATGTCAAACTTAAATCTTCTGTCAAAAAATTCATGGAGATAAAGACCGAGAAATTGAAGAAGTCATCATTTTTGGGGTATTTTGGGAGGTTTTGAGCATTTTAATGTAAAGTGGTCTTGCGTCAGCTGGATATTTTTTTAGAAAAATTAAGTTCTGTACTATTTTGTAGAAAATTTTATGGGCTTTCCGATAGGCCTAAAATAAAATTTTTAATAAAATTTCTAGGGGGTTAAAATACTTTTTCAAGTACTGTACTCCGATTTTCAGTTGATTTTTGGGATTTCAGATCTCGATGAAGAAATGAGTTATGGACCTCGTTCTTTCTTTTTTTCTGCTCATTATTGATGGAAATGTTGGCAAAAATTTTTGTAGAATTTTTGACCGGACAAAAGTTGATAAATCTATCTTGAGTCTATCTTTTTTTCCGCGCAAAAAATGAACATATTATGTTTAGATCAACATTGAGCAAAAACAAATTAAATTTTGTTAAAGTGAATATACATATGCTATTTTATTCACATTTTAAAGCTCTATAATTTAGATCTTAATTTTGAAATTAACTATTTTTAATTGTTGAGAAAATTCTAAATTTTTATTTTACAAAGGCTTGAGTCTATCTTTTTTTCCGTGACTGTATGTACACTACTATATATACAATACCTATATACATACATATCTACATATATACAAAATATCAAAAACAAATATTATCACAGACGACAGATTTGAGAATTCTAATGGCCAATTTTGGATAAACCTCTTCAACTTCTTCCCATCCTTTGCTTTTCAAAAATTTCTCTTTATTAATTTGAATATAGACCTTACATCCCTTTAAATTAAAAATGAATTCAAATTTAAAAATAATTTATTCACCTTCTCAAGAGTTGGCGCATCATAGAAATGAACCATCCCGCAATATTTCAAAATCTTTTCGTCATCTAAAAATTATTTTAGTAATTCAAGTTTCTTTTTAATTTTCCAAGTTTGTAATTAAAATTCAAGTTTATTTTTGTATTTTTCAAGTTTGTAATTATATTTTTATTGTCTTGCAAACTTAAGTTTCCAAGTTTTCCCAAGTTTAAACTTAAAATAAAAATATTCCAAGTTTTACTTTTGTAGTTTGGGCTCTGTACTCTTGTATTCAAGTTTACAATAGTAATTCAAGTTTATTTTTTTAATTCAAGGTTGTAATTAAAATTCAAGTTTATTTTTGTCTATTACAAGTTTGTACTTATATTTCTATTGTCTTGCAAACTTAAGTTTTCAAGTTTTCTTTCTTGTAAACTTAAGTTTTCTCAAGTTTATTCTTAAAATAAAAATATTCCAAGTTTACAATTGTAATTCAAGTTTATTTTTTATTTTACAAGTTTTGTAATTTTCCTGGAATACAAAATTTTATTCCTTACCAATCAAGTTAGTCATAAACACCTCACATTCATATTTTAAAGGCAAAACTTGATATTTATGTGCAATTGCAAAAATAGCCTCAACATGCTTTTCCATCACGTCTTTATTAACTTCGCCGGTATAGAAAAAGTCGAGCATTGCCTGAACAGGTTCTGGTTTGAAGTCGATAATTGTGACTTCTCCCTAAAATTTTTAATTTCTAAATTATTTTCCAAAAATATTTTTTTCCAAATTTTGAGGATTCCCTCCCCAAAACTACCCCCAAGTTTACCCGAAAATTTCAAATAACAAAGCCCTCCCCAAAAAGAAACAATCATTTTCTCTTTAACGTAAATTTTTATTTTTAACTAAAACACACAGTCACCCCCTCAATCATTTCCGTCTGCTCAAACATTTTGCGGAATACTTTGCTGTTCTTTGCTAGAATGCAACGATGTGTTTTTATGGCCCTATCTGCAACCTGTAAAAATAAAATTTTGTTTCGTTTAGACTGTCTTGCTTCAATCAGACCTCACTATAAGACATCCCCAAAATTTTACGGCGGTCTACTTAGTACCTGTCTCCTAAATACTGTATCCTATATCGACGGACCTCTCCTTTATCTCACGACGTCTATACCATTGATATCAACGTGTTACCCGAAACCTGAACTTTTTTCGATCCGATACCCAATCCGAGAACTTTTCCAACATCCTAGTAGAGCTTTGCCGGAACCGCAAATATGGCCGGAACCGGATCTAATTTTATGATTCCTGGCTATACCCAAACCCTAGACCCAAGACTTTGTTTTTCAAAAATCACGAAATGGAATTTTCGTACATCTATCTACACAACTGTGCCTCACCCTGAATTTAATCTGGTTTTCGCCTCGGAGACTGAGGGAATACCTTATAGCGAGATTTCGGATTATATGTACCTTAATCACACAATCTGAAAATAATTCCTCTTCCCACATATACCGATATGTAAATTTCAGATTGTCAATTGCAGCATACCAGTCCGCAGAAACTTTACATTGAAGGTTTAGAGTATCTAAAAAAAGACATTACACATGTTCAAAAACTAATTCTCTTACTATTTTCAAATATTTCCTCTAGAATATCGAAAACGTTAGAATATCCCAATTTATCCTGATTTTCAAACTTGTTTGTGGATCTGAAATTGAAAAAAAGATTATTGTTCGAGATCTCGTCTCTGTCCCCGATCTTTGACTATTATTGTAAGGTAGTCTCAGTAGCAGTAAGTCGGTAGAGCAGAATGAATGCGGGGAGGGAAACGCCTATCAACATACCCGAAAAAGACCGTATGCTGACTTGTTTCCCTAGTGACCGAACTTCTACTCAATTCATACAGTAAAGCATATAGCTATTTAATTCCTAAGGCTGTGCACTAGGCGGCGTGGTGTAATGGATAACACATCGTCCGGTCTACTGAAGATGCTGGTTCGCTCCCAGCCGCCGATTAACCCTTTGCACTAGCTGAAGGAGTAAAATAGCTATAGCCCAGCTGCCTTACTATACATCACCCTAAATTCAAAAACACCTGGAAAAGACACGCCGGATTTTGTTTTTGACCATAAAAATCTCATATTGCGTATTTACAAGACCACCCATTCCATTCGGTCCTGTTTGTCGAAGATAGATGGCAAAAATATTGTAACGCTTCATCTCAATACACAACTCCCATTGCACCTTGGGAAAGTTGGGATTGCCAAATCGTTTACCTTAAAAAAGAAAAAAGGTACATTTTTTCTGAAAGATTTGTCTACTTGTCATTAATATTGAAGACGAATAATGGTTGTCAATATTCTTCCAAATATTTTTCAAATTCTCGATTTCCCATCTGACTTTGCAAACAACGGTGTTCATCTGAAAAAATAATTTTTTTTTTTGGATAAATTTATTAAACTTTATTTTTATTACCTTGACAAGCAGCCCAAAATTGCCTTAGAACGCAGCGAGAATAATGTAGAGAATTAAGTTTATGAAATTATTTTAGGAATATGAGGTGTTGTAGTGACTAATTAGAAGGGGGCTTTTATAGTAAGAATAAGTGCGATTTTATAGTAACCCAACAAACACTAAAATATCTGAGCATTAGGTCGAGTTCCAGCCCTATAGCTCATGAAGAGATCATCACTTCTACATGTTCTTGGTACCTTTAGATAGAGAATTAAAAGCACTACAAAATACCAAAAAAATCAGAATTCTCAACTGATTGGTAAAAAAGTTAACGATTTCTTGCACTTATTTACTTGTAACTTTTTATGAGTGATAAGAGCTGATCCATACATTTGTTAAAAGATAGAGCCTATCGAGGGCTTTCGAATGATATAAAATTCATTTGTATTGGATCAAGAATCAAAAAGTTATAGCTGTTAAAAGTCGGCTGGTACTCAGTTTTCGGTCGATTAACGGAAAAGTACCAAAAGTTATGATCTAAAAGTCAACCTTCTCAAAAGTGACTTTTCGGCACTTTATCGAATTTATGATCCTTAACTTGCTCAGAATATATGAAACTTCAAAAATACTATAAAAAGGTTTTGGTTATTCCAACTTTCAACTACCAACTTGTCAACAATTCATCACTTTCTCATCACAGCAACACTTTTCTCAACAACATAAATGTCCGCCATTGATCTTGACCAAGTAGTTGTAGAAACAGACGAAGTTCGCAGAGACGATCGCGAAAAATGTGAGCAATGTGGGGAAGTGATTGTGGACCAAGAAATTGTTATCGCTCAAGGAAAGATTTGGCACAAACAACATTTTCGCTGCAGCAATGATCGATGTGATGTGATGCTTCAAGAGGACTATCAGGCAAAAAAAGGAAAAATACAGTCAGATACCTCATTATAAGCTACACCCAAACTGAAGAAATCTCGAGATAAGAGACGTTTTTAGGTTGGCCAGTGGGTGGGTGAATGTCTAATCAATATGCCTTCCATTTAAAAGACCCCAATTTAAGAGACCCCTTCTATTGAAGAGACACCTCAATTTAAGAGACACCTCAATTTAAGAGACACCTCAATTTAAGAGACACCTCTATTTAAGAGACATCTCAATTTAAGCGACACCCCAATTTAAGAGACATCTCAATTTAAGAGACCTCTCATAAGCTTCAAGTTTTTGAGCGTACCATATAATGAGAATCTGACTGTGTAATCTCTTCAAAAACCTCAAAAATTTATTTTTATTTAGATCCACAGTGACCTTCCCTATTGCATCAAATGCTTCATTGCAATAACTCGTCCAAAATGTGCGAATACTCAGTGCGGTCAAAGGATGTTTGGCGCTATGTTTTTTGCTGTGAATAAATACTGGCATGCTCAATGTAAAAATTGAGAAAATTCTAAATTTCTTTAAAAAATATTTTTTTTTCTAAAGGTTTCCAGTGTGCTTGGTGTGGTAAACCGCTTGTTGGAGGGAAACACTATGTTGTTGACAACCTTCCATATGGTTTTAGTCAAACATTTTTTGACTGTTTTTTAATTTTCAGACTTGGAATGCCATTGGATCAAGCGATTGGCTATCCAGAAAGAGCAACAGGAACAAGAAGACTAGGAAATGGATGGAATATAGTACCTAGAAGGAAAGCGAAGAGGAGATTGTAAAAATAATTAGGAAATTTTTTTGTTGTGATTTCTGTTAATATCGTATACACTGCGGTGCATATGTTTATGCACACTAGTTTTTTGTTCATAAGTTTATAGACACTTATTCAAAAAATATGTTCTATATGGCAATCGAAAGCTCTATCTGTATCTCAGTTGACATGTTTCTGCATTTTTCGAAATTCTGATATTTTCGAAAACTTTTCGACCGGTCTAACAGGTACTACATTTTCAACTTTTCGAAGAAATTTTTTTGAGGTCTGTAAAAAATATATGTGATTCTCCTCTAGATTCTACATATAATACAAAAAAATCATCCAAATCGGTCGAGATTCGACCGAGTTATGAATTTTTGAAAATCGAAAAAATACCATATTTTTGCCATTTTTCGTCAAAAAATCGCTTTTTTTCGATTTTCAAAAAATCATATCTCCGTTCCGGAAAAAGATATTTCTAAGCGGTTTTGTGGTAAATACTCACGAAAATATTCTTTATCAAATGGGTTTGTTAAATTTTTTCCGAAAAATTTTTCCGAGGATATGGGATTTGGTATATCCGGTAGATCCGGATTATCTCGGCCAATTTTCATTTTCATGGAAAATTCAGAAACATGTCAACTGAGATACAAATAGAGCTTTCGATTGCTATATAGAACGTATTTTTTGAATAAGATTGCATAAAATTATGAACAAAAAACTAGTGTGCATAAACATATGCACCGCAGTGGGTGCTCGTGTAGTTTATTTGATTGAAAAAAATTTTTCCTAAAAATTTTTTTGCGAATAAATTGGTCAGTAAAATTAAGATAGAGTTACTTTAGTTTGTGCAAACTGTCACAAAAATATTAATTTTCTTACTCAAAAATTTATTAAATAAAATGAAAAGTAAATAAAAACATTAATTTTAAAGGTAATAGTTTGGAAGCTTTTTTTTCCCGTTTCTCTTTGGATTTTGAGCATTTTTGTTTAATACATAATTTGTTATAATATCTATCATTCGAAAGAACTCTTCGAGCGTGGTCAAATGATACCAAGTTGGGAGGGTACAGCCCAAGTAGGCGCGCGGCCAGGTAGGCGCAAAGCCATAACTTGCTTTAAGATTTCCGAATATTACCAAATTTAGTATTAAACGATTCCTCTCATCAAGCTAAAGAGATTGGTACCAAAATTGTTGAAGTCCAGAAATTTTCCTGCTAGTTATGGCTTTGCGCCTACCTGGCCGCGCGCCTACTTGGGCGTGTCCCAAGTGTTGTGTCTCTGCACAACAAGAATAAGCAATACAATAATGTGTTTATCACACACAAGAAATACAATAATGTTGAAGTAATAGAATAAGGTTGGGTAATGTTTAGGAGACAATTAGGAGACACGGACTGACAATTGTGTGAGGCTTTTATAGTAGCCACCACACCACAACACCTCCCCCTTTGCAAGGCTGGGGTTACAACACCGCAATACAAAACATACAAACAATAACAAAAGTCCGGTCAACAAATACATACAAAAAAATTTTGAGGGAATAAGGGAACAAAAATACAATTTTACAAACAAAAGAACATATTTATATTTTATTTATTTTATTTACTTTCATCTATCCCTCAGCAATATTTGAACCCTCAGAATTTATCAAGCCCTCAGAATTTAACGATCCCTCAGAACAGCTCTGCATCTTATTTTCAAAATTTTCGGACCAGATCTTTGTCTTCTTTTTTGGTGTTGCACCTTCATTATACAGCCTCGCATTGGAGCGTTTGACACAATTCAATTGATTACTAACATACACTGTTCTGTTTCTCAATTCGTATTTACGTTCAATTTTTTGGTTGTTGATTTCACCATTGTTATACAACTTTGTTTCCATGTGCAATCGTTTCCTCAATTGGTTAGAATGGCGAGTAATTACTGTTTTCAATTTAGGAGCAAATATGGTGTAAAGCACACCTTTTTTACTTACAATTTCGCCTTCTAACCAAACAATTTTGTTTTGTCTATAATTTGTGAACCAAACTTGGTCACCAATTTCATAATTATGTACTTTGGTTCCATGATGTTTATCGAACCAATTTTTCATTTTATTTCTAACAATTTCCCTTTTAGGTGACAATAAGATATTTTTATTCAATTCAATATTTGTAGGTCTTAGAGCATCCCATTTCAATCTCAATTTTCTATTCAAAAATTCTTCTGCTGGAGTTTTCCCTCCCAATGATTCATTAGGCGATGCTCTATAATTTAATAATACTTCTTGAAGCCAATCTTTGTTTTTACAATTTTTTATCATCATTCTCTTAAAATAATCAACAAAACGTTCAGCTTGGCCATTGGACTGAGGATGATAAGGTGGACTAAACAATTGTTTAATTCCTTTTTCAATACAATAATTTTTGAATTCAATCGACTGAAATGGACTTCCATTATCCGAAACTAATGTTTCTGGATACCCATAATGGGTAAATAACCAATTAAGACTTTTAATTGTGTCTTTAGCTGAATTTGTCATATTACCAAAAACTTCAGGCCATTTAGAAAAAGAATCAATAACAATCAAATACAATTTTCCATCCTTACATGGACCAGCAAAATCATTATGCAATCGTTGCCAATTTCTTGAAGTAACAGGCCATGGACACAATTCTTCTTTTACTGGCATTTTTGCGGCCCCTTGGCACTCAGCACAATTATTAACCCAATTTTCAATATCTTTTCCCATATTAGGCCAATAAAGATATTCTCTAGCAATACCTTTCATTTTTGCAATTCCAGGGTGAAATTCATGCAATAAATGCAAAATTTTTTCCCTCAATATTTTTGGAATTATTATCTTATCTGAAAAAACAATACAATCATCAATTACTTGTAAATTCTGTCGTATATTCGACCAATATCTCATTTCTTTTTTAACCTCCTTAGGCCAATGATCTGTAATGTAATTTTTCAACAATTTCAATTCAATATCTTTCTCTGTTTCTTCTTTTAACAATTCAATATCCAATCTTTTCTCTTCCAATAATACATTAAAAATGTATTTAACTGATTCTTCGGCTTGACTCCAATCATTGTCTGACTCACAATCAATTTTATTTTTTACAGCCAATGCAATAATTTTGTCTTCATTTTCCTCCTGATTATTTATCAATCGAGACAATGTATCAGCCATGCCCATTTCATGTGTTTTACTAAACTCAATTTCAAAATCGTAATTCGACAATGTCAATGCCCATCTTTGCAATCTCGAGGCCGTGTATGCCTTTATGCCTTTTTTATTGCCGAATATGGCCAATAACGGTTTATGATCCGTCCTCAATTTAAATTTACGACCGTAAATCAATTTGTGAAATTTTTCAACTGCAAAAATCAATGCTAGTCCTTCTTTCTCAATTTGACTATAATTTTTTTCTGCTGAATTCAATGATTTACTAGCATATTCAATTGCCCTTTCCGTTCCATCCGGAAATTTATGGGATATTACTGCACCAATACCATAATTTGAGGCATCTGCCGTCACAATAATTTCTAAATCTGGGTCGAAGTGGGTTAACAATAATTCTGAACTCAAGATTCTCTTGAGTTCCTCAAATGCGAACTCCTGTTCTTTTTCCCACTTCCAATCAATATTTTTTTGTAACAATTTGTCCAAAGGACCTCGCAATTTATGCATTTCTTTCACAAATTTCCCATAATAATTTATCGTACCCATGATTGATTGCAATTCTTTTATATTTTTTGGGCAATTCAATTTTTTAATAATTTCTTTTTTAGCCGGATCTGGTTCAATACCAATATCAGAGACAATGTGTCCAAGAAATTTCAATCTCTTTTGAAAAAATTTACATTTATCCAATTGGATTTTCAATCCCCAATCTTCAATTCTTTCAAAAATTCTAATTAAACTCAATTTGTGATCTTCAAATGTTTTAGAACAAATGATCACATCGTCTAAATATGCATACACACCAGGAATGCCAATAATCAATTTATCCATCAATTTTTGAAATATAGCTGGTGCTGATTTAACTCCGAAAGGCAATCGTTGTACTTCAAATAATCCTTTATGTGTATTAATACACGTCAATTTTTTTGACGAATTGTCCAATTCAATTTGTAAATAGGCATCTCTTAAATCCAATTGTGAGAAGACTTTGCTCCCATGGATCTTTGTCCAAATGTCCGTAGGACTTGGCAATGGATGTCTATTCAATTCTAATACTCCATTCAATCCAGTAGAATAATCCATACAAACACGGAT